TGTGACCTGAAGTTACAGGTTAATCTAAGCCCCAACTTAATGAAGATCCGTTACCGTAATGCAAGCCTATTTTTCAAGCTTTCGTCATCTGTGGGATTTGAACAATAGACCTGCTACTTGGAGAGGGTGACAACTTGACCACTTCACTAAGCCGCCACACCCCTATATACTTCTGTTGATTTATTAGTGCGTAAGTATAAATTATTAATTTATTATGTTAAAATTTATTATGTTAAAATTAGCCTTACCAATTATATGTATTTCACTAGTCTTTTTTTGTTAATATTTTAGTGTGTAAGTATAATTTATTGAATTTGTTTTTAAAAATTTAAATGTTATTTTTTTAATGATTGCTTTTTTTCTAATTGGCTATTGTAACAAACTTTATTTATTCATTTTTTGAATGATTAGCCAGTAAGTGTGGATATATAAATATTATATATGATTTTTATATTTTGCTTTTCTATAATGTATATTTATTTTTAACTTTTTAAATGTTGAACTTTTAGTGCATATGTATAACTTTGTCATCTAAAATTATTAGTTTATGATAATTCTCTATTTACATTCTTCTCATTGGGTTATATGTCTATTTATATACTCTTATTAATCACTTTCTAATAATACACATTTATTTCTGAACTTTTATATATTTATACACTACTATTAAATTTAAAAATATCACATACAATTCTATTAAATTTTAAAAATATTATATATAATTTTAAAATTGATATACATATTTCCTTTTAATTATTGAAGTAATAATTGTTATATATTTATAATTATCAGTTTATGATAAGTATCTATTTATTTTATTTATATTGGAATATATTTCTATAAATATATTTATATATTTAAAATATTTTTAACAATATTGGGCTGTAGTCAGTACATATAAACCTATTTATCTAGAATTATTAGTTTATGATAATTCTCTATATACATTATTTCTATTGGTTATTTCTCTTTTATTAATTATTAGAGTATAATTATAGAAATAACATTTATTTCTGAACTTTTAATATACAGATATATGAGTGCCGTCATGAGAAAACTTATACGCTGGCCTTAAATTATATTTTGTGTACAGTTAGTCATCTGTGAAAAATCTATCATATTTTTCATAGACATCTAACAGTATACAAAATATAATTAAAAGCCAGTATGTGTGTTTTCCCTTGACGGCACTCATATACTCTTTTATTAAATTCTAAAATATTGTATACAATTTTAAAATTGCATTTCTGAATATGTATGTATATTTTCTTTTAAATATTGGATTACTAGTCTGTATATATTTATAGTCATCAGTTTATCAGTTTATTTTATTTCTATTAGAACATATTTCTATAAATATATTTATATATTTATAAATTTAAAATATTTTTTTAATAATACATATTGGACTGTAGTCCATACGTATAAACCTAATTATTTATAATTATAATTCTCTATATGCATTATTTCTATTGGTTATATGTTCTATTTATTTCTCTTTTTTTAATTACTAGAGTGTACTGTATTACCACGGAATAGCGTACATGGGCATTATTTCGAAAATTGCATTCCCTTAAAATAGTATACTTGGCTTCAAAATAATGCTTATATGTGTCCTGAAATAGCGTGTTATATATAGTATATAGTATTTCTATAACTTTAAGTGTACTGAACCACAGAGAAAATTCTTAGCGCCATCTCATCTCTCCTTTTGTTACAATTTTGACTGTTTGTCATCAATTTTTATAGTGAATTTTTGACAGATAAGCCAGATAATATGAATCAAAACTCTTTATTGCAGCGAATTTATAAAATCAGGGTACTTTGATTAACTATAAAGTGCGTCATTTACTATTTGTTTTTTGACATCTCTTATTGTAAAATAATATAGCTTATGTCTAACCCATCTTCCTGTAAAAGATGGGTTAGACCATCTATATGATTTTACAATAAGAAATGTCAAAAAACAAATAGTAAATGATGCACTTCATAGTTAGTCAAAGCACCAAATTTCATAAAAACTAGGTTGATTTGAAATAGTGCAAATGTGCATACTCGAAATACCACGCAGGTGATCGAAATACTGCGCAGGTGTGCGCTATTTCGCAGTAATACGGTAAGTATTATAAGAAAACTAAATATGCTACAGATCTGTGACCATGAAAAGTTTTAACAAATTTCACAATATCTCATGATCTATCAATCAGAACATAACGAACCTGGTACCATTCAAACCACCTCAATGAGATGGATTGAATAGTACTAAATTCAGTAAAATTCGATCACTGGATCACTAGATAATCACACTTAAGTAAATTTTGCAGCCACCTCACAATCCTTTTATCCAGTGGTCCAAATTTAATGCTTTTGGTACCATTCAATTCCTCTCGATGAGACGATTTGAATGGTACAAAAAACATTAAAATCAAATTACTGGTTCACGAGATATTCGCAGAATACTTTTTGTGGCGCAGTTTTGCACAGATCTGCACAAAAAAATCACAGATCTGCGCAAAACTGCGCCGCGAAATGTATTTTGCAAATATCTTGTGAAAAAGTGATTTGATTTTAACGTTTTTAGTACCATTCGAATCGTCTCATCGAGAGGAATCGAATAGCACCAAAATCATTAAATTTGGACCACTAGATAAAAAGATCATGAAGTGGCTGCAAAATTTACCTAATTGTAATTATCTCGTGATCCAGTAATCAAATTTTAATGAATTTAGTACCATTTGATCCATCTCATCGAGGCGGTTCGAATGGTACTAGGTTCGTTATGTTCTGATCGATAGATCACGAGATATCATGAAATTTGTTAAAATTTTCTAGGGTCGCAGATCTGCACAGATCTGCACCATATTTAGTTTTCTGATGAGACTTCTAAAATTATAATGTTTGAAAAGAACTGCACGCATGTGATATAATTATTGAATGCATTCCAGCGCTAATAGCACTGGATATTCAAACTTTATTAAAGAGTTATAGCATACATTAGTGCATTTGATATATAGTTGAAGAGATATATAGCATACATCAATGCGTTTGATGTATAATTAACAGAGATATATAGTATATATCAGTGTATATGATGTATAATTGATAGAGATATATAGCATACATCAGTGCATTTGATGTATAATTGGCATTAGCCGGTGGTTTTCCACTCACATAAATGCAGGCTGGCTGTTAGCCAGAAGCTTTGTAGTCATATGATCTTAGCCGGTGGTTTCCCACCTGCATAACGCAGGCCAGCTATAAAGAGATGTTTAAGCTGCCACAAAATGGCAGAATTATACTGAGGGAGGATAGAGCAGGGTGTGAAATTGATCTGCCTCTTCAAAGAGCTACCGTTGTGCTGCCCTACCACTTTTCCATTTTATATCTTTACGTTAATGTCATATGTTCCTGCTAAATTTGGTTATATTAGTATTCGCGCTATAAACTCCTAAATTAGTAATTTCATTAAATCTATACTTATCTTTCTCCTTGCATATACCGGATTCTCTTGTTAGAGCCAGGATCACCCATGTGATCATCGCTTGCTAATGCATCACTGCTTAGCTGTCTTTCCGATCTGTTGACTTACTGTCAACTTGAACAAAAAGAACTGTATGCTACATTCCAGCGCTAATAGTGCTGAATATTCAAACTTTATTAAAGAGTTATAGCATACATCAGTGTGTTTGATGTATAGTTGAAGAGATATATAGCATACATCAGTGCATTTGATGTACAATTAACAGAGATATATAGCATACATTAGTGCGTTTGATGTATAATTGACAGAGATATATAGCATACATCAGTGCGTTTGATGTATAATTGGCATTGGCCGGTAGTTTCCCACCTACATAAATGCAGGCTGGCTGTTAGCCAGAAGCTTTATAGTCATATAATCTTAGCTGGTGGTTTCCTACCTGCATAACACAGGCCAGCTGTAAAGAGATGTTTAAGCTGCCACAAAATGGCAGGATTCTACGTGGATTCCAAATAATTAGAACAGTAAAATTCTGCTATTTTGGTCTAAATATGCGTGCTTGCGCGCAGTTTGATTTCCTTTAATTTTTTTTTTTTGGTGTTGGTAGCACTGTTGCTATTGTATGTCAATAGTGTAGTCATTCAATATGCCTGGCATAAAGTAATCTGCTTGTAATTTATTCTGATGATGATCAGGTTCCAAAGATTAAAATGACGATCGTTAATCAGAATATACTTGCATTAGTCGCAATTGTCTTTGAAGGGTATGTTCGAATATATTGTGGAATTCATCTGACAACCATTTCCAGAGCTTTGAGCTAAAGGTTCTTGCCGTACTAATTTTGTAGTGCTCTAGAGATAAAAAGTATGGCTTGTTACCTTAGCACTTGGTAGATATGATTTTGAAGTTGTTTATTAATCATCGTTAACTGATCCTGTAATTATAATAAAGTTACTATCTTAGAATGTATGCCTTATTAATTGGAAATGTCATGTCAACTTCCAATACATGTACATCAGTCATCTTTGTTGGGTCAATCATCTATATAGAGCATTCAACTATCTTATGTTTGTTTAAGGTGTTATGAATGATACTGTCTTCTCAAGTTTTAAGATGCGTCCTATGTGATTTAATTAATAGTTTCCTAAAGAGTGTTGTGAGTGCTCTAGTCTGAATAGCAAGTTGTCAGGATTGTTCGTGCTCAGGTTTGTTTCAACTGCTGATTAGTGGATCGTTGCATATTAATTCTATTCCATATAGTTCATTGTCTGTGGTATCTGAGACAGTTAAGGTAGATAGATATGGCGTGCAACTCTGGTTAAAGGTATGTTGTGTCGTTAATTACAGTAATCATTGGTGACTGATCCTGTAACTATAATAAAGTGTTTTTCTTGGCATGCATGCTCTAATAGCTGAAAATGTCAATACATGTACACTGATCATATTTGTTGAGTTAATAATCTATATTGGTGCTCGACTGTCTTAAATTTGTTTAAACTTATCCTCATATAATAAGCAGCACCTCGTCAGCTTACTGCCTGTGCTTCATTAGTAATTTATGTAAATCCACAGTGATTCTTTACGTATGCAACAAGTTACCCCATATGCATATGTATTTTGGTTTGCTAATACACTGTTTAACATTCATGTCTAACTTAATGCTTAATGATTTGTCTAAGCCTATAGACGATTCTTCATCATAAGATAAACAGCACCAAGTTAACTAACTGTTGTTGCATCTTTTAGTTAATTTCCTAATGACTAATTTAGATCAATGTTAGGTTTGATTTTATTGGTTATTTAGTTTTGCAAGTAGATTTTATATTTATTCATATTAAGTTTACCACTATCTTTGCATCATTTAATCTTTTTTTTTTTTAGTCATTCATTTTATTCTGCAATGATTATTTGTACATATTTATCAAGTGATAAGTTACTCTGTGACTAACATATTATCTGATTTAATTCTAATGGTTTACTTAAATTTGCTATCTATTTCATCACTTTTTTAGTTGAATGCGTTGACTTATTGCACCTGCCTTATCTGACTTGATTTCTAATTCTTCATTGAAATCTGCAAGTGATCT